TAGCTTTACTATGAATGAACAGCCAATTATTTCAAAACAAACAAACTAAGAGGTTGGGCATTCTGCATAATTAAATAGAATTGAAATCTAATGTCCCCAAAGGCGAAGTTTTATATTACATTGGTGAAGCGGTTAAAACCTTGCAATCGTTTAACTATATCAAGCAATCTGTCGTAGATTTTCGTAGGTGAAAGTTTTTTAAAATATATTTTCTATGTTGAATGGTGAGCAATTTCTGGTATGTTAAATCCATTATATTTCGTGGTCTGATTAACCAAATAACTTCTTTCAATTAATTAATCTTTGTGTAAGGTATTGGTTGAAATAAAAAAGCCAGTGTCACGAGCGGGATTCGAACCCACGCCTTCGGCTTGATATGCCGCTGCTCTACAACTTGAGATATCGTGACCTAGATCCACTCGGACACCAACTTCCCATCTCAACCGCACCTTTTGAATTTTCCCTCCTTTTTACCATTTTTCAAATGTTGTGTAATTATGCGACAAATGAAATGGCCACGGAGAGCTTTAGTGAAGATATACTTCGTTTTACTTATTAAATCCATTATATTTCGTGGTACGAATGACCAAATAACTTTTTTCAATTAATTAATTTCAATAAATTAATTGAAATGAAAAATGGCAAAAAGGAGAGAAATTTCGAAAGATAGGTTTAAGTGGGAAGTTGGTGTCCGAGTGGATCGAAGTCACGATAACTCAAGTGGTAGAACAGCAGCGTATTTAGCCGAAGTTCGTGGTTCGAATCCCGCTCGTGACACTAATTTTTTCATTTCAACCAATACCTTATATAAACATAAATCTAGTTTTCAAACAATTAATAGTGACGATTGTTATTAACAGGTGTTATGTCGAGAAAACAACTTGATGTTCAGACTCCTCGTTTTCATCCATCCGAGACATATCACAATTAAAACTATTTCCCCAGGAAGGAAAAACATGCCGGAAATATGCGCCCGGGTTCGTTTGAATTCGGCAAAGTGATATCTCTATCTGCTATAGCAAAGTCTACGGACCCTCACCGGGCACACACAAAACAACCGCGTTCCTAACTTCGTTAATCTTTCAGGTGGACCACTTCACTCGCATAGCATACAACTCGCATGTCTTATTCTACACCTACACCTCATGAATTATTTCCGTTCATTTCCTTCTTTAGTTTCATTTTCTAAAGTGACATATGCATATTACAACGGCCGATCCGGCGTCGTGCACATTGTCGTAACTTCTGACAATTAACAAATCAAATATATAACATACACCTTTATCGATTATTGATAAAAATTAGTGTGTATTTCTTAGTGACCGGTTGTTTCATAATTTGTTGAAGTCGTGGGGAGCGGTCGAGAATGAGGTAGTTTAGAAAAACACCTTTTTTTATTTTTTGCCGACGTTTCGACCTTTATTCGGATCATCTTCAGGGCATAAAGCGTGGTGCTGTTCCTGTGGTGTCATAGTGGTTTTGTGTTCACAATTGGCATTGTGTATTATTGCTTAAATAATTTATTTGTAGCCTTAATATATCTTTCTTTTTCTCCTGGTAATAACTTGACCAGGAAGACGCTTGTGAAGAGCAACCAATGAAAAGTTGGCGTGTATGAAGTGTTAGGGGTGAGGTCTCGAAATGATCGTTAAAGCAAGTTGAGTTTAGATTATCAAAACAGGTATCAGTCCTAAAATAATAATCCTAAATAGTAACTTTCAAAAAAGTCTGATAAGTTGTCTCTTAAATCTTGTGGGGGGGGGGATTCGACGTCAGTCTGCTGTCGCAGAGGAAGAAAAGGAAACAGAAGTAACCGGTACGTGAGTCCATTATGGATTAATTCACATCCATTATGTTCACAATTCACAGTCTTCAAACGACTCCAATAATGGGTCAAATTTCTTCTCAGATGTCACTTTTTATCTACTTGTGTATGTGAATAATTTTGCATGGGGCAAAACGTTCTCTTCTTATTATGTCTCTTTCTGATATTACATACTCTTCACTTGCCAGACAACATACTAAAGCAAATTTATGAGATAATTCATCTTTCAGCATCATATCCATGAGATAATTCATCATATAAACCTCCATTTAAAAAAAAAAAACCTACAAACTTATTTGCAAAATGAAAAGTGTATTTTAATTTTCTTTATTTTATAAATGTAATAGTAATCAATTTAATAATTTATTAAGCACTATCACACTTTATACGCACACTCATATACGTACGTTCATGCAAGTTTTTCTAAAGGAGCACCAAAAACATCTAAAGCTCCCTGGGAAACTATTGAGATCGGGTGAGTTTTTGTAAGGTCAATAAAGGTAATAAATGAGAGGTAAATAAAAATTAATTTAAATAAAATAATTGGGCGCCCGTTATTAAGTTTGCAACATCTGGCAATTATCAATAATATTTTATAATGAATTTTTAAAACTGAAAATATATGGGCATAAAACATTTTCAATTAACGGCGCAAAGGGAAACACTTCTTCATTACATTCAAGTATGGCGGGTTTAACGGATCTTTGCCTCTTTATAAATAGAATCTTCAAGTGCTTTTCAATTTTACACTTAATAAACAACCTTTTACTATGTTTATGAGCAACTTGATTGCGTTGCAATGGGAGGATTATTGACCTGATTACGAACGATCTTCTTGATTAGATTCATTTGAGATATAAATTTGACAATAAATTAGTTAAAAAATATGTTGATGACCTTTTCCTCATAATAAAAAGTTCCCAATTGGTAGACATTTGCTGCATTTAACACTTATCACCCCTCACTACAATTTACCCATTAGTTAGAAACTTGGGGCGTCCTTACGTTTTTGGACCTTTTGGTAATCGGAAGGGATGATGGATCAATCATTACCAACTGGTACCCGAAGCCGTCCATCAGGGTTAGAGTGGTGCATTTTGCATCTCATCATTTTTTAATGAAAATAAATGTAGCTGTTTATCTCACTGACAGAGCACTAAAGTTAAATGATGAGTCTTTTCACAAGGATGACCGTCATGTTAAAAAGTATTGGTAGTCCCACATCACTTATTAAAAAGTTGATTCCTTAAAGAAAAGAACTTATTAACAACGGGAAGGTGGAGATCTTGTCCTATTGTTTATATTGGTGATGCTACTAAAAAAATTAAGTTACTTTTAGAGAATAAACTCAGTGATGTAGTTTTTTTTAAAATTCAATAATCCAATTGGAAGGAAAATATTTTCAAAACTAAAATGTAAAGATCCGCCTCCAGAAATATCGTATATTCCATCCCAAAAACTGTCCATTGATATATTATGGTCAGACAAAACAGTACCTTGGGGAAAGAGGGAGACAACAAAGGTACGGTTGTTCTGACGTGGGTAGACCAGGAACTGCTTTGTCCAAACATCACCATGACATAATTTTTTTGAAGTGAAGGTTGTTGATATGGAAAAAGTCTTGGGAAGGAGAATTATAAAAGAAATGCTTCACATTAAAGCAGATGTTAATTCATTGAATTTAAGAAGGGATGTTAACAATCTTAGAGTCATCTACAGTGATTTGATTTAGACATCGTTTAATGTTAACTATGTCATTCCTTCAACATTATCGTTGGTTACCTTCCTACATTTATAAAAAAAATTAGTCACGCTTTTTAATTTTAATTTTATAAATAACTTTAATTAAAGGTTTTAATTAATGTTGTATATTGCTTTTAAAAGTTTTTTAGACGTTTAGAAAATGTATTACTGTAATCAAATTTATTTATGACGATGTAAAGTGTAAGTTGACTTCTCTTAATTTATTAATGGTAAGCCCAAATTGTTGTAATTGTCTGTAGAGCTTTGAAGAAGACTGTATAAAGATCGAAAGCTTGGTGAAGTTAAAATACTTCTTTGTGACCGCATCCTGATTAGCAACAAATTGGTGATACAATAATTATAAAAATAACCATTTTTAATTTATTGTATACAATATACAATAATTTTATGAGCAACTTGATGGTGTTGCAATGGAAGGAAGTCTCTCTCCTATTACTGCTGATCTGATTACGAATGATCTTGATTGGATTCATTTGAGATTAAAAAAATTGGTCAATAAATTAGTTAAAAAGGTACGTTTGATGACATTTTCCTCATAATGAAGAATTCCCAATTGCCAGACATTATTGTTGCATTTAACTCGTATCACCCCTCAATACAATTTACCCATTAGTTAGAAACTGGGGGTGTCCTTCCGTTTTTGTAGTAGTAATAGTAGTAGTAGTAATGTCTTTGGTTTGTTAAAATACTTTGAAACATAGATAGAGACTAAAAGTAAATAATACACAATAATTGCAATACCTTAAATGGAAAATTCGATGATTTAAAAAAATAATAATTTTTTACATTTATTTTATATGCCGACATTGTTAAAACGTAGAGTCGACAAGATCGACTTTATGGTAATTTATGCATGTTATTTTGTTTAATGACCGAATATTTACGTTGTGTACCGCAAAATATTGCACATTATTTAGGACAAAATGTAATTTACTTTTTTAGCTTATTAGATTTTTATGAAGGTATGGATTGATTAAAGGTTTTCGAATAGGGGTGTGATAAACTGAAGGAGCGAGGTCCGTTAGTCTTAAAAGCGTTCGTTTTATAATTATTGTTTCATAATTTCGAAATTATTGAGCCGGTTTATTGTTGTAAGCACAGTTCTCTTTTTTTTTCTCTGTACAACAAAGGCGGGATTATAGTTTCGTTCCGGCTAATTCATGGAAGTGACGGCGATTCACGCTTGATTGGGACAACTCTCATTTTGTCTGTATCCGGCTCAATTTTCCATTTGTGTTATTCAAACAAATGAAATACACCATAAAACATATAATTTTTTATTTAAAATCACCACCGTTTTCTAAAATATATGCGCATATTTCTTTTTGGTTGAGAGCGTTTGGAATAAATCAGAATAAATAATTATTAAACAGTCTAAAACTATGGGTAAATTGAATTACTTCTGTTTCAGGCTTGGAGTGTATCAACCTCTTTTTGGAAGAAATGTGATAATATCTTCCATAGTGCAAAAAAAGGTATTTTCTTATTTGATCCTTTTTATACTTTATTCACGTAAATTGTCTCGTGAAACACAGACAATTATATAATATAATTCTGTATTGTTTGAATTTTAATGAAAGCAAGTATTGAATATCGAAAGAAAATCGGAAAATAAAACGTGTTCTTTTAAAGTTTTGTATCAAAATGGCTGTCTAAATTTTATAAAGTAAAATTAGGGCTTCACAATCACAAAGCATGACTTTGGTCTTCTTGAGAGAGAGTCAGTTTTGTCGGTTTTGCTTATCTTTCTAAGTTAGCTCAGAGGGCCATTATAGAGGCCTACAATTTTTCTCAAATCTTGCTGCGAAAAATGAGCACATTCGCCTTTCTTTTCTGAGAATGGTGCTTTTGTCCATATTGAAGTTTTTTCGTTTGTTAGCCAATTTTCACAATTCCAACTTTACCACACTCTCCAAGGCGCTGTTCCGATCACATGGGTAAGAAGACTGCCCATTCTGGCTTGATCGTCAGCCGGCGCACTTTATTTTTTACCTTCCTGTCCCCAAACCTGCATCAACGTCATCAATCAATCTTCGTTTTTTTAAGGTAATTTAATTATCTAGTTTGGAGCTAAAATTATACGCTTTTAGTGCCTTTTAGCTGACTGTCCGAAAGTATCTATATCTATGCACGTCCTGTTCTTCTTTATGGATTGAAGGCCGCATTTTGGAAAAAAATCTGGAACCAGTCCAAGGAATTTTGATAGGAGTAATTCGGCCCCTTTCTCCCTACACATCCTGTGTAATATCCTTGATCCATCAGTGTACCGTGGATCCCTTCCGAAAATATTTAGATCCATGCACCTTTCATTTTTTTATGGATTAAATAGATCTCAGCTTGGAAGATAGGTGGAACCAGGCGAAGGGGTCCTTGGTAGGATGTAATTCAACCCTTTTACGCCTACGCCACTCCCTGTAATATCTTTAATTCATAATCATAACCATCCCTAACCGTCAGTTTACCATGGAATCCCTGAAGGGTGGGGCAAAGTAGTCTGTTATACGAACTATCTACTTTGTCAGGTACCGTTATAGCCATTTATTTTAGCTTCCTTGTATCTCAAGAATTAAGAGGTACTTTCGAAAGCTACCTTTTCTTCATAAATGTGTTAGGATCGGAGATGGAGTTGTTTCCATATTTATTGAGGGATCGTACGTATTTTGGCCACATTACTAGAGCGGTTTGTGGTGTATAACCAGTACGCCAAACTGGAATTTATCATTTTTTGCTGTATTATTTCTGGCCAATGTTTAATAGCATCTAGCTTTAGTATGTTGCCTATGTCTTTTCCATTTCAGCCTCTGGTCAAAGTATTTAGGTACATAGTTTTTTTTTTTCTGTAGAAAGTTAAAGTTTCATCTTTTGCGGAGAGTGCTGTTAAGTTTCATCTTTTCTTAGGATTGATATTTAAACACATCAATATTTAGGGAGTTAAGAGTTAAAGAAATTACAAATTAACGCCAAGACTAGACATATCTGTATGCTTGGTTACAAATGGGAAAAAAGAAAAAAATAATTATTTCACCCCGAGGTTTCACTGTTTCAAACAGTACGAAGCCCCTGGAGTTTTTAGAAAAAATAAATAGCCTCGGAAAAATCAACACTGAGCCCCTGGTACCCAGTGACCGGGTGGATTGTCAACGGTCCGAGGAGGAACCGGTAACAGTAAAACGATCCATTTTGTGCTATACGAGAGAGATATCGGAAGACGTCATGTCTCACAACTGACGTGGTGGAAGTATAAAGCCGTACAGCCCCGAGGAGCAGGACGAGAACGAGGCCTGCTGGGGTTTAGGGTGTCGGTGAGGTAATTGCCTAGGGAGGTTCAAAGGCATAAATGGGCGAGTAGATCGATGAGACACTAAACTCTCCCTTCAAAGGGACGTAGGCAAACACCAAGAATAAACTATTAGTAATCGACTATTTTAATCGTTTTATTATTTTTTTATTAAATAAAGTAATTCTTCGAATAAAGTAAAGTAATAGTTTAGAAAATCTATGTAATTTAAAAATATTACTGATCTTTAGTATTTAGTATATGCCTATGTAGAGGGTCGCTTCTTAAATGTAGATCATATTCGGGTTTTTTAATGTAATATTTAAAAATTAATTAATTTTGTTTAATTACTTTTTAATAGTAATTCGTCATAAAATTTGGAACAAATACCACTTTTACGGTATCATCTTTTTTCATGAATGAGGTCGAGGGGTTGACTTTTTTTATGCTCTTCAACGATTTATGCAGATTGATCGATTTAACTATTACCGTTACATAAGGGCTGTTAGTATGTATTTCGTTTGAGGTGGAAGTGATCGATCATTGGGCCGTGAATAGGACAACCCGGAACCCTTTTCCCACCGTGGAAGAACGGCCGCCCACTTCGGCCAACCCCCCAACCATTACAAACGTACCGCGGTAATTAATTTCGTTAATCTCGACAAATTTACAATTTTATTGCCGCCTGTCGAAACGGAGAGCGGGGACAAAAAATTTTTTGAGCATCGTTGGGTTTTTGGCGATTTTAAGAAAAAAAACTTGCACATGATGATGATTGATTATTTAATCTAGCCAAGCTTCCTGAATATTCATATTATGAAAAGAAAATAACTGATTTTTTTACTATTACAAATTGAAGGGTCGATACAATAAAATATAAACAAAATCGATATTTGATTTAGATTCTCAGTAACAAAATGACATTCATGGGTATTCATGCAGTTGTTGTATTGTTAATAATTATTAAATTCACTAGTTTCGTGGGCCGCTTGACCAATTAATATCATACAATTAATTAAGGTTTTTAGTTGAGATAAAAAAGTCAATGGCACGAGCGGGATTCGAACCCACGATCTTCGGCTTGGTACGCCCCTGCTCTACCATTTGAGCTATAGTGACCTCGACCCACTCGGACACCAACCTCCCATCTCAACCACACCTTTAGAATTTACCCTCCTTTTTCGATTTGAATTCGATTCGAATCCCGCTTGTGCCATTGACTTTTTTATCTCAACTAAAAACCTTAATTAATTGTATGATATTAATTGGTCAAGCGGACCACGAAACTAATCAATTTAATAAGTTTGAAATGAAGTATCCTTCACTAAAGCTCTCCGTGGCCATTTCATTCGTCGCCGAGAATCAAATTGATTACACGACATTTGAAAAATGGCAAAAAGGAGGGAAAATTCTAAAGGTGTGGTTGAGTGGATCGAGGTCACGATAGCTCAAGTGGTAGAGCAGCGGCGTATCAAGCCGAAGATCGTGGGTTCGAATCCCCCTCGTGCCATTGACTTTTTCATCTCAACTGAAAACCTTAATTAATTGTTAATAATTATATTTTAATAGTCCCACTACATTCTTAAGGATTACTAAGGAAACTGAAGAACATTGTAACCAGCACCTAATACATGATCCTAGGTATGAGGGCTGAATGTTTCTTTAAAGTTAGGCAGAACACAGCGAGATCTTAAGCTGGCTCACAAGGGAGCATTCTGGAGCCTCCCTTTACACGATATACAGGGGGCAGTTAACCAACTTCACTACTTTAAGAGGATATCCTAAATGTCAGTTTGAACTGAAAAGTCCTTATGGTTCAACGTTTGATTCTCAATTGTAGTCGAGATATTTCACTCTTTAGGGTACAAATTATGATGATTTATATAAGCTCAAGTCTGCAAACTCATGTACATTCACCGGGATCAGACGCCGGTCATCCGCCAGCCTTCGAAGTTCGGCTCCCTGAGCTGTTAACAGCTATGTTATTTCAGCCCCAAACGCCTGCACTTCCTAATCCTTAAATACATACTTCTTTACATACCGTTCAGTTAGGTGATGTAATAATTGATATTCATCCGTCCTCTAGCTAATAGCTGAAGTCATATCAACCCGAGCGGTGCCGGTGTTTTTGAAACAAAAAGCCCATTTGTAGCCCTGTTCGTTTTCAGGGCCGCTGGATTCGAACAAAGGACCTTTACCTTACATGTCAACGTCTAAACCGTTGCGGCATTTCATTACTAACCTAATTAAGGGTCGATTGGATGCTCGATATTTCGCCATCGGCCCTCGCACACTACACGTTCACGCCAATAAATACACTCACTCTCAACACGCGCTTATAAAACTATCATTACTATGTAAACTGCACAAAAACTAATAGGGATATTTGTAATTCTTTCTTATTCTATTAATTTTAATTAAATTTACCGTTAGTTGGATAAAACAAATAAAAAATACAAACCAAAAATAAACAAATGTTAATCCTCATTTTTGAAAACAGATTTACTTAACAATAGTTAACATGAAGACTAGTCATTTTTAAACAAACAATTTTCTCGACTTTTCTTCGAGTTGTATTCTCTTTAACGATGGAAAGACATCATCATGAACCAGAAGTTCGCAGTATTATTGTGGGAAAGAGTCACCGGCAAGTGGATATCGCAGATGCTGACGTTCCTAGAGACTGGAAGTGCCAATAGGAGGCCTGGTAGTGTATCTCAGCGCATTACGACCATAAGGGAGGACAGAAATATTATAACCCTTTCCATAGTGCCCGCCAGATCCTGAATTAAGTACATAGATATTTTGGCAAGGCTTTATCAATACAAACGATTCGTATTGGCCACCCATCGTATGCCCCTTTGAGACGAACTGCAGCAACAGCCCGCCACCAGCAGATCAGGAGAATATGGTGCAGCGAGCGAGAAGAGAACACTTATGTTTACTGATGATTCGCGTTTCTGTCAGTATAGTGATAGCAGGCGACGAAGAATCTACCGAGAATGGGGGTGCGTACGATGCCCCAGTTCGTGCTCCCTTCAGTGCAGTTTGGAGGAGGCGGTGTAATTGTTGGGCTGGGATTTACACTACAGGACGAACTCGATTCCATATTGTTGAAGGTAACCTCACCGTAATGCTTTATGTACAAGAAATTATCGAGGAATACATCCCTCAAACCAGGTAGCTCGTTGGCAGGGA